ACTTGTCTAGCTCCTAGCTGCAGCATCCGATCGCGATGACACGCATATGCTCGTGACGCTGCTGATGAGACCTTCAATTTGCGCCGCTTCTTGGAAGAGCCCGCCCCCTACTTCCCAAGAAATGGCAAGAGGCGTCTGGACCCGAAATTTCAATTTTTTTGGCTCCCGCTCTCAATCGTATACTCCGCTCTCAATCAGGCGAAAACCCTGTTCCGAGCGAATATTACGTGCCAACTAGAAAAAAAGAAAAGGCTACGCCAACATGCATCTCTAAGTCAAGATGCAGCCAAAGACCCCACCAAACATGGTATTCGTCACACGTGATATAGGAGGAGGTTAAAAAGTATTGAGAAGACACCAGCACAGCCGGCGCCGTCCACAACAGATAAGTGCTAACCGCCCGCGCCCCACGCACCCACGTGCCGGCTACCTAGCCATCCTCACTAGCTGCCGCCGTTTCTTTTCTGATTTGGGCCCTCACGGTCGTCGCCCGGTCCCGCAAGAGCTGTAGGTCTTCTTCGTCAGCGTCCGAACCCAGCTCCTTCTCCTTCCTGATGTCCTCCTTGATTTCCTGGAGTTCTTTGCGGAGCTTGGCGATATATTCGAGTTTGGCCGCCTTGTTCTCTAACCCCTCCTTCGTGTCGTAGAAGGATGTCGGGGCGTCGGCGTACGTGGGTGCGGACGACGTTCCGAACAGGGCGTCAAGGCCGAGCTCCCCCTTCACCGCGGACATAGCGACCTTCGCCGTGTTCTCGATCTGCGCGTCCTGCTTCTTCTTTTTCTTCTGGTGGCCACTGACGCCCACGTTCCTCTCCCTGGATTCCACTTTCGCGACCTTCCGCTTACTAACATCCGCCGAAGTGCCCTGGGCACCACTGTGTCCGTCTCCCCCGGTCTCCACCCCCGTACTCTCCCTCGCGGTGCCGTCGGGGAGCATCTGATCGCACACGGCCAGGATGTCAGGGCACTTCTCGGCCGTCAGCCCGAAGTAGTATGTGTCTAAGCTTTCTGCTTTTTCGGGGAGGGGTCGGGATTGGATGTGGGGGGGGAGGGCGGGGGGGCGAAGTAGATGATCAAGCGCAAGCCGAGATTTGTCAGCATTCGATCACAAACGTCAAGAGGAACTTTGCGTTGTTTGGCGTTGACTACCGTCTAAGGTTAGTTCTGGGCCCATGGATGCACAAACCTACATGCTTTTCGACGCAACACGATGGGGAGCACGCGCCAGGATGGAGAGGCCAAACACAAGCACCACACACGCACGCGCTCGCGAGCATTCAAACACTAAATACCCCGTGCACCTCGTCTACCCTCAAACATACACAAGGCTCGTTTTGTCACTGCACAACAGAAACAACATGTTCAGGCCGGAGTATTAAACCCACCCTTGCAGAAGGAAAACATCTCTCCGTTGCTGCCAGATTTCTTGAAGTTGGAGTACATTTCGCCGTGGTCCTTGAAGAGGTCGGTCCTCATGGTCGCGAACTTCTGGAAGCTGATGTCCGGCTGGTGTACGACGTTGGGGTTGATGCCGGCGCCAAAGATGTTGCTGTCGTCCGCGAAGGCACTGGGCACCTGCAATGTTACGTTGTTGGCACAAATACAGGCAAGGGGGGGGCGCTTGCGTTTCGATCCTCTACCTTTACCTTGGTTCGCCAAAATGTGCACAGCAAAGAAACACCGAAGGTTTGCCCTCGGGACCGCAAGTGGTATGCGGCGTGCATGCAGGTGCCAATCACAAAAATGTACCGCCTCGTGCAGGCCACAACGGAGGATACCACCGCCACTACACCTAGATCAAACTGGAACATGCAAAAAAAATTGAGAAAGCACCTCACCTTGAACTTTTCGTCCTTGAACGCCTCCCAAATCTCGAGATGGATGTCCCGGGTCGTCCCCTTCTGCTTGGCGTCCAGCTCCTTCTTGCTCAGCTGCAACCTACTGGCGCCAAACCTCTCCCTGAACTGCGGATGCATCAGAAGTTCACAAAAGCGAGGGACGCAGTGCTTGCTCTTCCTCCGCTGTCCGATGCCCTCGCCCCGCCCATCGGCGCGATCTTCCTCCTTGATCGCCGCCATGATGGCGGCGACCGTGTACGACTTGCCATCACAGTCGTACATCTTGTTCGGCTCGGGGCTGAGCCCACTCCGGATTGCAGCGCGTACCGCTGTGATGAGGTTTTGAGGAACTCGTTGCGCCTCCGCGCTAGATGCTGGCGGCTTCGATGGTGGCGTTCCACCTGACAATACCATCAGCGCCAACGAGCGGGGGATGGGCAGGGCCGTGTCGGAGGTTGTTCATACATTACACACCCCTATGCATCCCTCGGTACAAGCTCGCCGAAAACCTGGCTGGCGAGGGCTTCCTTGCTTTTGCAGCATTTGACACTTACGGTAGGGTTGGACACTGCGCTTCCGTGTCAGGACTGCTTGTTCGCAGAGCATCTACTGTAACTCACTTCCTCGACTGCTTGCGACTCCTAGGAATTGGTACGACACATGCCGTGCCTGGATCGGAGCCACAAGGCATCGCCTCCTCTCTTTTTCTCTCTCACGCCACGAAGAAAGAAAAACTGCTGGGATGGTATCGTCCAAAAATAAATCTGTTGTGCGGTTGCTCCCCGCTGTCGAAACACAGCACGCTTTTTCTCCCAAAGGCAACACCGCAAAATCACGAACGTAGGAAAAGCAACACATTTCGACGGAGCTACCCAGGTCCCATGCAAGCCTTGAAAGAACAGGCTCGTGGCAACACTACCACGAGCATTGTCTGGTGATCATTGGGTCTTCACCTGTTGCCTTGTCCTCCAAGTCAGCGAGATACGGACTGCTCCTGCTCATGACGATGTCGAGCTGCGTCAACCCCGCTGCCATCTTGTCTGTGTCTTTTGACCTCGAGTAGCCGCTGAGCCTCCGCAGTGCGCAGGCTTCCCTGAGCAGGTAAGCCGACCACTTGTTGTAGCTCTTGTTGCGGTTGCGATTCAGCGAGCTTTGAAGCTGACGCATGGTCCTTGCCACCGACTCGACCGCCGCGCTGCTGCCAGCTCGGCTCAACCGGCCCCCGCCAGCTCCGCTCGAGCTTCCCCCGCCAGCTCCGCTCGAGCTGCCTCCGTCAGCTCCGCCTGCTGCCCTGCCGTGTTGTCCGCCACGGTCATCGTCCTCTGACTCGCTGTCGCTGTTCCCTGAGTCGCTGCTTGATGAGCCGACACGGATGGACCCTCCGTCGGACGTAGAATTGAAACCTGCGTCCTGGAGGATGGCATCCACTTCATGAGAACAATGGTCCGCCGCGCTTCTTGTACCCGTTCTCTGCTGCGCAGAAGCAGTGGGCGCCACGTGACCGGGCCCCCCAGCTACGCCCTCGCTCTGCGTGTTGGTGTCGGAAGCGCCTCCCGTGTTCGAACGAGCGGTCCCCTTGAAGCCAGGCAGAGGGTTCGGGGTGCTGGACAACAAGCCGCCACCGCCGACAGCAGCCCCGAGAGACCCGTTGTGCTGGTATTTCGCCGGGACTTTGGTGTGACGACCACGCAGGGTTGTCGTGGTCTCCACGCTGTTGTCCATGGTGTCGATATGCGGGCTGTGTGTGGTATATCGCTTGCGTGTTGCTGCACGTGTCACGCGCGGCTCTTTCGTTTTGGAGCAACTCCACATCACAGCAAGTCACAGTGTTTAAAATGATTCTTTTTGCTTCCAAACTTTTGTAACAAAAGTTTGGAGTTTTTGGAACGAAAGTTTGGAGTGTTTAAAACGGCCCTTACAAACGGCTATTTTGCGGCAGTACTTCCACAACCTGACTGACACCCACCCAGACTACCGCCCAATGGGCTTGTCCTGAAGAAGGTGGAAACGTGGTCAACGATGCATCTGTCAAACAGAAGTATGTGAGCTGCATATGCTAGGTGCAACGAAAAACTCCGAAAAGGACTCAGTAGCGACGAAATCAAACATGCCCTCGGCTGAAATGATGCCTGACCTGACAGCCTCTGGCAGCGAGGTCATGATCCTGTCGACCGCCCATCGCGACTGATTAACAAACACAGTGTTTTCACACGTGGGTCATCTTCTTTTGCTCTGGCGATCGCCCAAAGTCTGTCCTGGTAGGGTGGTACACTGCAGTAGAGTTATGGGTGGGGGTTGTGTTTGTGTGGCATTTCTGGTGGTGAGGGTGGAAGGGAAGCGAACATGACGATTGATTACGGAACGGCCTGGATCTTATATTTGGAATACCGATGTCGAAGTTGTTAGATCATAAGTGCGTACAGTTGGACCTAGTAGCGATGGCCCTGTCGAATGTCCACAGGCACGCTCTACATGTAGATACAATTTCAACTACATCCAATGACGATTTGTCCGGGAGCCTAGCGCAGAGAAGTCGTCACTCTGTACTCTACTGGTGATTACAGGGTGAACGGTCGGCCTATGCTTGCCCGCATGGATTCGAACGAGCAACTGCTCCGCATCCCTTAGACTGGGAAAATATCGCGAACGGTTAGTTTATTATTGTGTGATGCATGTGACTTTTCTAAAACGTTAGGTATCAGAAGGGAACTGGGATAAACTACTCCGTACGAACCATCACCTCATGGGACTCGGCCTACAGCAGTGAAAGTCCCGAGTGACCCTCATGAAGATCTCGTGCACAACAATGAACGTTTTCGTAAGATTTTCAATAAATGAGCTCGTCGTGTTATAATTGTGTATCTGAGTGTCCGTGGACTGAGGCCCAGACCAATGCTTTAGTCCCCAACAGGGAACGGCGAAGACGTTAAGGCCTCTCGGAGCAGCCTGAATTGCCCATGAAAACGTTCGCGGACGTGCCCACCAATGTCCAGTCTGGACTTGCTTGTGGGTGTGCCCGTAAGGGCGGCAATAGAGAGGCAGGAGCGCCGGGCGCACCGTTACTGAGTCACATTGTCGCAAAAAACACACGATGAATGTGAGTAGCCTGGACGTATATTCGCTTCCGAAAGCCAACAGCCATAGCGGTTCCACAAAGCGACAATGAAGCCATCACGGTTGTCCGCTGAATTCTCAGTGCCTGCAAGCCTCTTAAGCTCTAGAGTACGCATGAGAGCTTTCATCCCTTCGCAGGGCAGGCCTGGCAACGGCTCCCAACACACATTCACAGAATTCGAGCACCAGTCCCCTATCGCGGGGGACATTCGTTAGCCGCTTCAAATCAGACGGTGGCAGATCAGATGAGCGCTCGACGGTACGCGCTGGCCTTGCGGTCCGTCATGATGCGAAAATGCCCCCGAGACAAAGCAACAAACTGCAACCCGCAAATGACAATGATTACCACAATATATCACGTTGATCGCCTCAGATATGCTTGATATTGATGATATCTGAATCTTGCGCACGTCGGCGATACAGATACGCAAGGTGCTCGAGACGAAGCACACGTTTGGTATGGTGTCCTAATCAAATAAATCAAACAAGACAGGTGATCAAAAAGGCCCGAACAAAACTTGTCATCCCGGGGATCAACCACCACCCCGTTTGATCTCTTTTGCCGGTTGTTCGCTGTTGCAAGGCGCCGCCATAAGCCAAACATCGGGAACGTGCGCAACACATGAACAAAGACACCATAAACATTGGCGGGGGAAGAGCACGTGGTTTCCCCCACTCGTAGGACGCCCTCAACTACCTTAGAGCTCCAGCGCTTCACATAAAAAACACCTTGTCTCCACTGAAGCAAAACGACGAGATCGTCACACCACCACAGCGCCCCCCGCTGTTCCGAATATTAACAAGGAGATATCTACAACGTAACAGCTTGGGCGGTATGCTAAGGATTGAACGGGAGAACGTACGGATAAAAATTACAGAAAAAAGCGCCATGCGCAGAACGAATCGTTGAAAACCCGTACACGCGGAGTCGGCTCCGCGTCCGTTCCTCACCACCTAGCCTGTCGCACACTGCTGTGCTGATGGCACACCCAACACCTTCTAAAAGCGCATCATGCAGAGGTGCCACAGGATGCTAGATGGACGTTAGATAAGGGTAGTCCTGCTGGGTACGTCATTGAAAAGTCAACAGACGGCAACACCCGGCGATGAAACATACATCTGATCCCCGTCCTGTGTGAGGATATCCCGACACGACCCTGTCCATGCCACAGTCTTGGGATGCCCTGGAAAAGGAAACGACCACCTGACGTTATCTATCGGGACCGGTAGACGACGACGGCCGCCGCAGCATTGGCCGTGACGAGTCAGTGCTGGACGTTCTCCTGGGGTTCGTGGCCGTCACACCGCCGTTTCCGCCACCGGTGCCGTTGCCGTACTCTCCCGAGGACGATGGCGACTGAAAACTTCCTCCGGGNGCTAGGTCGTTGGTGGCATAGCGGTCAGAATCGCAAACCAATCAGTGGTAGACGCGCATAAGGGTGCACAACCGCTGTTACGAGCTGAATTGCACGACCTGTAAACCATAACACTCGTACAGGCACAGCAACAAACTTGGGTTTAGTCCATTGCTCAGAACCAAGCGCCCCGTCTGAGCCGTCGTGTGGCATTCAGTACAACGCTATATCGCTGTCTCACTCCTCCTACCAATGTTTAGAACCTTCCTCTCCTGTTCTGAATCAGTGTGCGGGATACAAGTCGTTCCCACTGGCAAGCTGAGCAAGGAATATCGACCAGCTGGACAGCGCCCGAAACGATGTTCGATTTCCAGTGCAATAACAGCTCCTTTGCTTGCGCCTTCCGATTTCCTCCGTCGTCGATGGACGCCGGGGTGCGTTTCGGACTTCTTCTCCTGAGGCAGAACAGGCTCGCGCTGCCGCCGGCGAGCGGTGACTGGACTTGAGCGACACCAAACGCTTGGCAGCAACCACGATCAGCCACCGCCTCCTCGAGAACTTGGGGATTGAGCAATAACTGCACGTTACGCGAACCCCCTCCCCTCCGATCGGGACTGACAAAACACACCAAGCTTGCAACACTATTGCATGCCCGAGGATTGCCCCATTGTCAACTTCGCTGCCGTCAAAATCAGACACGGCGGTTCATGACATCTGCCAGGGTACCTTCGAACAAGGCCCACCCTCGTCTCCTCACCACGTCATATCCAACCCACCGTAATGTACCGCGGGCAGTTGAAAGACAGCTGCCTTCCCAGTATCGTCGAGCTCTCTGGCGGTCTCCGAACCATCACCACAGGCCGCCCATCCACCCCGCATACCCCGGTAGAGCCCTGCAAGAATATCTTGAGCGACGGACGCGACGTGTTTCTTCGTCCACCCAGACGCCACCGGATGCAGGCGGTGGCCCAGCGTATTCTTGTTGTCAGCGAACACCTGCCGTCGACGGGGAGGAGGGCTCGTTAATAGTGCGTACGCGAACGTCGCTAGGGCTTTGCAGCCCTCGCACGAAAATCACCACGCATTTCAAAAATACATAGGGACGGAAGTGATCTCGACGTGGGCGCCGCAAACATGGCACCATGGCGTGAGGAGGTTGGAATAACGTACAGGTCTGCATTGGTGTGCGTGAGGGCGGAGCCATGGGGAAACACCCTTCGCAATACACGAAGGGGGTATGTCGGCCCCGTTGGGAGATTTCTATAATTTTGTATTTTCCACTCGTCACGTTCATTCGGCAAATTGCGCGTCCACGTTTCTTCGCACCGTCCTGTCATGCCTCTCTCACGGAGGATCTGCGATTGGGTACGTAACCCAGAAGAGATCGTCCGCGTTGCACGTCCAATCACCTGTGGTGGGCTCCATGGGTCATTCCATCCGCAGAGCTTACGAGCGCGCGTTTTTCTACACGAAAATACTTCCTGCCGTTGGTCTCCTACCCAACAGAGTGAGAAATCAAAGAAAGTCATGCTACATAGCTTAGGGCCTGCGGTATTTACTCTCTTCCCTTTCAAACACCCTGAGAAGGGTGCTCTCGGCGAGGGAAGTTAGCGTCGTAAAAGGAAACAAGCAGACACGTATCGCGTACACGAAACTGGGGTTAGGATCTGCTCCGGTTTGTCGAGCCGTTTGCCGTGAGTGCGGTACCCACCAAGACATGCCGACGAAGGCGACGAACGACTGGAATATGGTGTCCTCGCCGTGCATACCACTTACAACTCCTCGGTAGGCCTTGACAACAACGACAGAGTGCGCGAGCGCCGGGGGAATCATTCGAGATTCGGCTGAAAGGCAGCGGGGCGGGAGGATACGACAGACTACATCTTCTCCTTGCGTGGGGAGGATAGGGGGGGGGGACCAAGGGTCGGAGGATACCCCAGAAGACGAACCATTCCCGGCATCGTTAGGGCCCGAGCACAGGTTCTTTGAGACTCATTACGTTGGTAGTGCTGCAGCATAGGTGTCTCCGGCTTGTGTTGGAGTGCGGGCAGGGCGATTTACTTTGTTTCCTTGGGTTTTCGCAGAAAAGTAATACTTGCATGGGCGGGGTCGGACGACTGTGTTCGAAAAAAAATGTGTTGATTCTTCTCCTTGGTACCGCGGAGCTCCAATGATTCCCCTCAAGAATACGGAACAAGACGTGCAGCATCGGCGACAGAACGATCCATCACTTTCGGGATGATAACCCGTTCCAACACTATCCACCCTCATTCAGTGCCACCGAAGCACCATGATCCATGCTACCACTGCCACAACCTGGCGGTTGAAACACCAGCTGTGGTGCCATCACATACCGAAGCCGCACGCAAGGTTTTTGTCAGCAACACAACTTGCGAAACGCGAGGACGAGCAACTCTTAGCCAACAACTACAGCAGCAAAAGACAAAAAATTTAAACACCACGACCAATACCAACAACAACAACTGTACAAAGCACCATACCTCGAGAAGGATAGCGATCACCACGTTCAGCAGCAACACCACGCCCAGGACCTGGTACAGCACCACCACCACCGGCCCGACCGTGGGCTGCGCATCCAAGATCTGCGGGTAGAAATTCTCGGACTCCCCGAGGGAGATGCGGATCACGCTCCGCCACGCATCCTCCAGGGTGGAAAACTCTTTCGTGCTGGACCCGACGAGAAGCCACGTGAGGGCGGCAAACGCGAGGACTACCTGGGGAAAGCGAGGGGGAAAAAGAAAGAGTTAGCCGGGTTTCATCCCAGTCTGTTGCTTTCTTGCGTAGGCACTCATGTGGGTCTCTTCGCGTGTATGCACGTATTTTTCGTCCCCTTGTGGAGACTTTGGTGTCTAGCTATAGGTGCTTTGGTAGATTTGCGATACGCCGTTCGATACGTTCGAACGTCGGGTCGTCAACGGCCGGCCGCATACGATTCGAAACTTAATCATTGCTTTCCTGGTGGGCACGAGAGAAGGGAGAAATCTGCCGAGCGTGTTGGTGGCAACAAGACCATGCCGGACACAAAAGGAACGGACATGGTAGTCTTGAGTCCCGGTGCATATCAATGTTGTGTTGTTACATTCGTCTCTGCGGGTATTTCAATACAAGCAACAGCTTTCAAAAGCAAAAAAATCCCTGTCTTCACCTCGACCCACAAAGAAAGCGGGCTAAACGCGACCGCACCGAGAGGCTAAAGACGACCATTGACCACGACGACCACATATAATACGCCACCAACAGCGTCGTCAGTGCTACCACCAGCACCAGTGCCCCAAGAAACCTCTCGTCCGGCAACGGTGTCAGCCTTACCAGGAAAAACACGAACAGGAAGTGGTCAAGGTGGGTGCTCGCTCTGCTCAGGGTGTCGGTGACAATGCTCATGCGCTTGTGGAACGTGAGCATCTGCGTGGAGCGGAGACGCGTGGTGGAGCCAAAAACAGGAAGAAGGACACGGTTGCCGCAGGCTATTCAACTATGTCCCGCGTCAGCAGAAGGCGAAAAACTGATCAGAGCAGAGCCGAGAACCACGCAACGTTTGAGGTCCAAACTCAGCGATGGAAACAGAAGACTTGCCCTTGAAATACTCCGTCCTCGCATAGAGCACAGTTGACAAAAAACATCACCGTTTCCTCCATAACCTGATCTCTTGACTACGTGCCACGAACATCGAGAAGAAAAAAAACAAGCAGATACAAATGTAGGCACCCAACAGATGTATCTACGTACGAAGCTAACACACCACACGACCTCCGTAAAACCCCATCACGAGCGCCGCCATCGTGGGCGACGGCGATTTGTTCTCTCCGAGCAGCGCGCCTATTTACTCAAAGAGATTGGACTTTAGTCTGTCGAAATTCTTCAAAGCGCCCGGGCACCCGCAGCGTCACATTTCCCTGTACATTTCTCCGATGACGGTTTCGAGAGCAACTGTTCCAACTGTCCAACCAATAAATATTGACGTGTTTCAACATACTACTACAACGGACACCCTTCGGATCAATGCTCTTCGTCGTATTTTGGATAGATACTTGCCTGGAAT